CATTCGCACCGACTCAAGCAATGGTCAAACGAGTGGCTCCTGCAATTTTGTGTCCCCAAATGCAACGTTATGCTCTTCGGTAGTACTAACTATTCGTATCAGAGGGTGTACAACCTAACTCACACACCGCTGCCAGAAGTAGAGACCCAGAAGTAGCTGGGGGTGTGGTTCACGCCCTCACTTAAACCACCACTCCACTGTCTGAATGTAGCCAAATCCGCAATGTCGAGCTTGTATCTAATCAAGCGCGCCTTTGGTAAGTTTGATGAAGCTGTCTTTGGCAAGGTCTTCGGCACGTTTGTGCGATCCCAACTGCAAGTTGCCATCCAAGCCTGGAAACCTTAGACAATCAAAGACAAAATAAACCTTAAAAGGGTACAACGACGGGCAACTAAGTTAGTGCGAGGCCAAGCGTACCTTCCTAACGAGACACGATTGACCTATCTTGACTTATTTCCTCTGGATTACAGAAAGCTGAGCAGTGACCTAAAACAGGCATTTCGCATGCTGCGGGGTCAGCATTGTTGCCTAGTATCGAACGAATTCTTTGAGCTGGCCACTACTATTAGATTGCGCGGACACCCTCTCAAAATGCGTGTGACTGGGGCAAGATAGAACACACGAAAATTCTTCTTCTCTCAGAGGGTAATCCAGGCATGGAATGTTCTGCCCGCATAGACTGTCATGTCCCCATCTGTGGACACGTTTAAGGTGCAGTTGAACCAGCATAAAAAGACGTTCTCTGCAATGATGCTAGACTAATTAAATTACCATTCGTCAGCAAGTAAAATTTGCCACCAGACTTCTCTGGCAGTATCTACCTTAAACAAAACATACTGCTCGCTACTTTTCAGTAATATGTTTGTTGAGAATAACTTTTGATGGTCGTGGTGGGCTCCCGTGTGTCGTTATCTGGTCGGCAGACCCGGTAACCAGCAAGGGCGTTTGATGGGCGCATCCCCGACACTCAGTGATGTTCTCGTGACCACCGCAATCTTCTCCTCATGTGACCATTAGGATTTTGAACAACCACGATGGCCTCCTCCTGACATGATGCAAACACTTTCAGCAGCAGGACATCCGATTTACACATACTTTTCGACTTCACCCCCCACAGGCGACAGGTTTTTTCCTTAAAATCCCACAAATGGCATTCGAAACTCGATTTATGAAAAATGACTAAGCTGTTCTTTTACTGTCTACTCCCCTAACACAGTTCCATTACTGGCGAAGCCACATGTTCTGCATCATAGCTATGTACAAAGAGGGAGTTCAAAGGTATTT